CAGTGGGACATTTTTTTTTTTTTTTCTTGTTTTCCCTCGGTTTCGTTGAATATTTTTAACTGTGGATCAAAGCCCATACATGCATTGGCGAAAGAAATTTTTTTTTCCAAACAATGAGCTTGTAAATGCTGAAAAAGTATGCTTTTATTTTTTAACGGTATTGAAAATCAATTTCATCGAAGCTTGCAAACAGTAGATATCGTAGGGTCGTTTCGACAACTTCATAGACAATGTTTAGTCACGAATTTTATTTTAAGACCGACTAGTAAAATGCTATGATAAGTACTTGACATTCGAATAAAAAAGAACGACCAGAAAGGTCATCTCTTTTTTTACGAGATACGAGAGGAAAAATTCCGCGCGACGGCTCTTAATCAATTTTGAGCCTCAATTAGCGCTACGTTGGACCAAAATTGGGTCTTTCTTAATTAAGCCTCCGTTAATTTAACTTGGATCGTTAAAGGTGTAATGTATTTTTCATGAAATTGGAAAAGGGACTTGAATAGATCAATTATTAATTTCCTTTACATTTATAATATACATATATGTAATATAAAGTAGTAATAGATAAAATATTAATTTCCATTAGAAAACACTTTAACTTAAATAAACAATTTTTGATTGACAAAATTTCAATTATATAAACGTAGGAATAATTATTGCAAGAATACAGCTACTTATACTTGAATGGATTTAAAAAATATAAATTTGTGCAACCTTCGAGCTTTCAGAATAGCAGAACAGTGTTTTTGTTGCAGGGCGCAAGAGAGAGAGAGAGAGAGAATTGAGATAGCAGACGAATCACGGAGTAAGTATATATATATATATATATACTTACTATACTTGTATATATAAACAATCCATATCAGCAAAATCTCTCGTAAAGTGTGGAACAGATGATTCTATATCGAGCGTTGTTTTGTAAAAATAGATAATTATTCCGGAAAACTAGGAAAATTCATCACATAAATGATTGGTTTGATCCGCGCTGGCGTCATTGACATTGTTCCCCCAAAAAGTCGAAAAAAGAGAAAACACTCCGAAATCTTCCCAAATAGGTCTTGTTGTTGTGTTGTGTCGAACCAGAAGTGATGAATACACGTCAAAACAATCAATCATTATACCTACGAAGGGAGAACAATAACACGTCCAAATAAAAAGTGCTACAGCTGATTCGAGGAGGATACTCAAAAGCTCGACTTCCGCCTGGAGTTGTACTTAGTTGGAATTTTAATTGGGAGAAAGCGTGAGTAATATTGATAAAATATAATCGTTACAATAATACATGACGTTACATGCGGGGGCAGGAAGCGTGCTCGTGAGTATATAGAGCCGCTGATAAGCCCCTACTTACATACCTACATAATTTTACACGTCTACGAATCTTTTTTTACACCAAGTTGAAGCCGTCATTTTTGGGATATCAGTTTCTTTTGAGTTAACATCCGCGAAATAACGAGGTTGTAAACGACACTGTCTACTGTCACAGCGTGTCTATTGCCTTTCGGTCGAAGCGAAAGAAACGCGAATGTATACGTGAAGTTGTTTTTTTTTTTCAAGCTTCAATTATAACCAGTGTGAAATAATTCAGATTGAATTCCAAATCAGTAATACATAAGTAGTTGTTCACCATTGTTTCAGTAAAATGTTTAAAATCAGCTGCTATGGCTTCCTCTTGCTTTTCCTTGGGAACTGTTGCTGCGGTATTTACACAGAGTTGGGGAGCAAGTGGCAGACACTGTGTCCGGCCATGTACCCGAAAATATTCACTAGCTATACCCTGGTGGGCAATCTGACCGGAGGAAAGTACACAAAGCAAACGCGAGTCTCCGACATGGGCCACTGCTTGGCCACCTGCTGCAACCAGCCGTCAGCCTGCAACGTGGCCTTTATGTACAACTCCTCGTGCTACCATATCCAGTGCGTCTCCTCGAAGCTGTGTGTTCCGTTTTACAGGCCGGACAGGGTGCACAAGAATCCCCCGAGTATGGTGCTCGTCAAACCTGTTGAAGAGGACGAAGCTTGGACCGATTTTCTACTGGACGGGGACGGTGACTTGGCTGGGTAAGCAGTCCCTATTTATTTTATTTAGAAAATCCTAAATGCACATGTACTCATTGAGATCGTTTTGTTTTTTTTGTTTTCAGCTCCGAGTTGCCGGACGGTACTGAGCCTGAGCTGTCGTTGTTCGGCGCGAGCAACGAACTCAGCTGTTCTACCACGGAAGACTGCGCCGAGAACGAAGTCTGCGTTAAGAAAAGCAAAAACTCCAACATCGGAGTATGCAAATGCACGTTGCGTTACAGAAGAAATTATGCCGGGACTTGCGGCACTTACGAGGATCTACGGGACCTCGATTTGGCTTCAGCCCCAGAGATCATCAAGCCCAGGCTCTTGAAAGATTCGCGCACGCCTGACAAGCCAACAGTCAAGCAGATATTCATTAAAACGGCATCCAAGGAAGTGCGTTTACCAGAGAACGAAGTATCATTGTCTGCTTTTAGTGTGCCATCGGAGGAGCAAATGGACGGCCATTACAAGTATGCTTGGACTTTACTGAGCCAGCCTGAGGCCCACACGGGAACCATGACAGATCAAAATCAGATGACAGTCAAGTTAAGCAATCTCTCGGAGGGCCTGTATAAATTCAAAGTCACTGTCACAGGTCCTCACAGTTATGGAGAAGCCTATGCAAACGTTACCGTTCTGCCCCGTGAGTTTTGTCGTCTTTTTTTCCCATTTTGATGCTCAACTTTTTCATTTTTATCTTTACCTGTGCACAGCTAAGAGGATAAATCAAGCCCCAATACCAATAATATCACCAGCATCCCAAATTGTCAAGTTACCAAACACTGGAGCGGTTTTGGATGGCTCGGCTAGCAAAGACGACGACAAAATAATGTCTTACCACTGGGAATTGCAGCAGGGACCGATCGGTTATCAGCCAAGCCTTGTTGATACCCCTACTCTACAGTTAGACAATCTTATAGCCGGAAACTATACTTTCAAGTACGTATTTGCAAAAAACTCTGATTTAAAATTGCATCTCTAATAATTTTTTCTTCCATATGCATACTTCCATAGATTGACTGTCGAAGATTCCGACCACGTAACGAACTTTACAACCGCCAACATAACGGTTCTAAAAATTACCGATTACCCGCCCAGTGCCAATGCTGGTCAGAATGTGATACTCTATTTGCCGAAAAACACCCTTACTCTGAATGGCAACCTGAGCACCGATGACAGAGGCATCTCTAGCTGGGAATGGACAAAGAGTCCGTCCGACGAAAACAAGGCAGTCGACATGCAAAACACGAGAACACCGTATCTGCAGCTGTCGAATTTGGAGGAAGGCATATATACTTTTGTGCTTAAAGTTACCGACGATTCGGATCAGTCTTCAACCTCGGAGGTACACGTTTTCGTTAAACCGCCGACAAATAAGCCACCAAAAGGTAAAAAAGCGTTGTTATTCGTAAAATCAACACCTACAAAGAAAAAAATAAAACACGTAAATTACGAATGCAGCCAATGCTGGGGACAATATAACAATTGCTTTGCCAGAAACTCAGGCTGTACTCAATGGCTCTAAAAGCAAGGATGACATTAAAATTGTTTCTTATCACTGGGAACAACTAGAAGGTCCCAACAAAGCAGTATTCGCAGTTTCAAACGCATCCATCACTAACGTTACAAAATTAACGAAAGGAGATTATTTATTTCAGTTGACTGTAATCGATGATAGCGGCAATAAAGATTCCGACACTGTTCAGCTCAAAGTTACTCAAAGTAAGATCCGCGCTCAATTCATTAGAGAGATAGGAAATAAACTACTTGCAATTAATTTTACAGATAAAAATGCTCCCCCTGTTGCAAATGCCGGCGGAGACTTCACGATTTTCATGCCGTTTAATGCTCTTTTTATAAATGGCTCAAAATCGACGGATGATTTGAAAATCAAAGAGTGGCAATGGAGCAGGGACCCAATGAGCCTAGCGATTGGAAATATTATCGAAAGAACTGAAAAATCACCGATTCTTATGGTAAAAATCACAATTTAAAGTTTTGTTAAATCTTCAATAAAAAGATGTATTTATTCAGGTTTCGAATGTTATTCCGGGTCGTTACATTTTCAAATTAAAAGTTAGCGATGATCAGGGATTGAGTAGCGAAGACTCTGTGTCTATAATCGTCAAGCCTGGTAAAAGTCTTCCAATTACTTTTTTTAATATGAATTTTGAAAAAAAAAAAAAAAAAATCAAACTCAATTTTACCGTTTTCAGATGCGCAGTTGTACAATTTAGTTGAACTAAAATTGAATATCGACGCTCATTTATTAAGGGAGTCGCAAAAAATTTCGTTGATTGTTAAGTTGGAAATGTTAATTAGAGAAGAAAGTTCGATTGTTATCCGCAATTTAAGAGCAGACGCCCATTCTGGCAAAGTCATTTTGACATTTTTTGTTAAGCTGAAGGATGGGAAGTCCATGCCAGGACCGGAAGTAGTCAGTAAATTGAAAGAAAAGCTCAGACAAGATTCTGGTTTATTGCAGTTGTCGGTAACAAATGTCGAAACAGTTGTCTGTCAAAACAATTGTTCAGGTAATTTTTCGTTTACTATTTTTCTCATTGTTGCTACTAATATCATTTTTTATCACTTGTGCTTTTGGTAAATAGGACATGGCACGTGTGATCAGGAAACAAGACAATGTTTGTGTGAAGTTTTTTGGATGCAAAATCTTATACAGGTTTACTTGAGAGACGGCGAATCCAACTGCGGTATGTAGTTATTACATTAGAAATTTTTCGGAACATTTGTCTCATTGCAAGAACTAAACAGCTATAATTCTACAGACTGGAGTATTTTATACGTGATCATAGCCCTACTTTCATTGGCTATTTGTTGGATCGGACTTATTTGGGGGCTGATTTGCTTTTGTAAAAGAATATGCCACGGAAAACGTCGGATCTTGCGGCCAAAAAAGAAACCGGCTCGTTACTCTTTGTTACAGCCAGAACCTGATGAAAGTACAACTGCATGTAAATAGAACTTTAATTACTCTGCATGCATGAATTTAGAAATAGAAGTTTTTAAGTATGTATTTTTTCATAGTTTCAAGACACAAAATGGTTTTGTCAGAATCGGATTCCGACTCTGATGACGTGATGTTTGATAAATTCAAAGGAAGAAGTAACAGTCATCCGAGAAGTATGAAAGCACGAAACGGATTTGCAAAATCGAGTACTAAAGTAAAAACATGAGGTAAGTAACTGTCATTTTGTACAATGAACTTGATAAACTTTTTGTAATTTTTATTATTGAATCGTATAGATACAAAATAACGGCGACGCATGAGCGTCAATCCTGTTAAAAAAAAATCAACTAGTCATTTAAAGGGCTGTCTCTAAAAAGATGAGTATACATGTACCTCAAGTCAAATAAGAAAAGAAACGAAAGCGACTGAAAAGTCCAGTGTGTAAGATATTGCAGTGATTCTAGTATTGTCTATATTACGACGACTTCAAGCGTTCCTTGTATTTTAATAGTGTGGTTGTACAATCGTTCGGTATAGTTTGATAACTATTTTTTACTTTAATTCATCGATTCATTTATAACTAATATTACATATTTTATAAAAGTATATACAGCACACAATCGCATAAAGTGAGAGTATAATCATATTAATTTTAATTAAATATTGATAAATGCAACGTAATGATTTTGTGTGATGTACTGTGTATGACATGCCTACTTTGTGAATCGCAACAATTTTTAATCAAGTTTTTTTTTTGAATGCTTTATAAAACTTTGTGTTTTTAAAATATTAAGGCTTTGACGATAAATTTAATCAAGTGCACAATTTTGCCATAGAAGGTACAGCTATGCTACAAGACTGTGATTGTCAATACTTTTGACTAAGGTGTTTTTTAAATTGAACAATTTATTAAATACATTTGTCCAAAAATTGAACATTTCATTGTTTAATAAATTTTACAATATACATTAAGTATTGTAATAAGTTGAAACGTCTCAAACGATTTTGTTAGTATGAAAAACTTGTTCTCATTACAATGTATTTGGTATGTATTATAAAACAGAAGAGCCTTTCGTCAATGCAAAATTTTAGTTAATTTAAAGATAAAAATATTTTTCCTAATGTACAAGTTTTTTTTTCAATTTATTTGCCCTTTTTTACTTTCAATCACAGTTAACACACCTTTTTCTTGATACTCTTTACACAATGGATCGTCTTCCTTGACAATGAAAGATAATACAGCCTTTTGATAGTAGTCTGGTACCATTTCTATATTACTAATGACAGATGAAAGTAAATGAGCTTTTTCGCAATAAATACCTTTAAAAAAATAAATTGGACAATGAATTAAAATGTTTTACTGAAAATATCACTATTTATAAATAAAAGGTGGTATGAACAAACCTGCTGCTTCAAACATTAAATATGAGAAATGCACATGTAAATGATAGTACGATGGTTGGTAATGGAGATACATCCTCAACTGAGAAGATGGAAGTTTGTACTTGTTGAAAATGATATCAGCTCCAGAGTCTCGAATATTCTTTAAAAGTGGTAGGTGAGTGTCATTCAATTCTCTGAGGGATTTGATTCTTTTTCGTGCTAGTACTAATATACTTAAAGTAGGTACAGAACCGTCCCACTTCAAATCTGGCAACATTATAAAACCATTGTCTGGATCACTGTCTTCGTAAATAATTTTTTCAAACTCTGCCTTGTGGGCTAGGATGTTATCCACCCACTAAAACAAAAGTATTTTGTACACATCATCAAAGTATGAATTATAAAATTAAAAATAAAACATGGTATCTATACCTGTAGGGAGAAGTTGTTAGCCTCCAAAAAAGGTTTGGTGATATTTTCATAAGTTTCATAAGTTTCATTAACCATGTACAATTCTTTTCTTATAAACTTATCGATGTGTTTTTGAGTTGCTGGATGGATAATGGTGATGTTGAGACCTATGCAACAAAACAATCAGGTAGAATTTCAAAATAAACATTACAGACCCACTATGGATATGTCTTGGAAAAGTGAAGAACTGATCAGCATAATTTACAGATAAATACTTAAACATGAAAAGCTTGAACCAATGAATAACTCGATGTAATGGCACTAATTTTTGTTCACTAGAGACAAAAAAAAAGATAATATACTTCTTGATGGTCATAGTGTTAAAATCAAACACATAAAAGAAAAAATTAAAAACCACCAAAATCTTACTTTTGACGATTGCTTTTTCTGCTAACTAAACTACGAAAAAATAATTTGAGTACAAAATTGCTTGTTTCTCAACATTTTATGAAAACCAAGTAAGTAAGAAACGCGCAGCAAGTGTGTGGCTCACATCTCACACATCACCAAATGTAGAAAAGAAAACAACAAAAGAAGAATAGAACGACAAGCTCCGAAAATTTTGGAGTTCTGGACGTTAGTCCAAATGACACAAAATACAGCATAAGTAATCAGATATAATTTTTAATATAATTAAAATTAAACTAAAATACCATTGTGTTCTCGCGTGGGAAAGCACTCGTAGTTGCCGTAGACGTCGTTACTGAAGGTCTTCCTTACGATCGTGCCTTCGTTGAAGAAGCCTCGATTGAGGAATATCTCGTCCTCGGGGAAGATTTTTTTTTCGAGGATGACTACAGCGGGACTCTCATAGCTCGTGAACCGACCCTCGACGAATATTTGCTTGCGCATACTGTTGACATTGAGTACGCGGGTCATCTTGAAGTTCGACAAGCTGAGTTGCTTGGTCATGTGGACGCTGTCCTCCTGGAGTTTGCCGGCCTCGATAGCCGAGCTGCCGTTGTTGTCATTTTCCTGGAGGTTGAGCTTCGTCTTTTTCATCGGACTCGTTTCGGGCGTACCGGCGACTACGCTTGCTGCATCCGCCATTTTTCCCTCACAACTGATATACTTATATGTGAGAAAGCGGCGGGTATGTCCGCGTGTGTTTAGTTTAGCGGTTATATAGGTACAGAACTACAGCCGGCGTCCGAGCCGAGAGCCGAGAGTAAGTAGGTACGTGCGACTCTTGCGAGAGAGCCAGCGAGTAAACTGTTCGGTTGGAGGTTGGAGGTGTACTGTCTGGCCTACTGGCTCTGCCTCTCTCTCTCTCTTTCTCTCATGAGTCTCATGGTCTCATCCCCTTTATATATTACTCTTTACTTACTCCTCTTTTTTTTTCACGCTTGTGTGTCACTTTCTCTCGCCCGTAAGTGTAATATTATTAAGGGGTGTATTTTTGTCATGTGGTCAACTGTCAATTCTTGTAAAAACACATTCAACATTTAGAAGACATCTTTTTTTAGAATTATTTTTGTACGTTGTTGAAACAATTGTCAAATGAAATAAGGTTTAGATTGATAAACTCTCAATATTTTTAATAAAATGTTTATTGTATTTTTTTTTCATTATATTTACTGCAATATGAACAATATTTTTATAGCGATTTGATATTAACATATATAATTTAATGTACATTTAATGAAATTTTTATTAAAAATGAAGAGATTAGCCATAAAGCTATTATACTCACTTTTCAATAAAAAATCGATTGAATTATTTCATACGTACGAGTAAACAATTCCTCAATTAATTCGAGTTGAAGCCACCATGGGTCAATTACAATGTTGATTAGTCATTTCTCAATATCAAAAACTAGGGTGCATAAAAGTAGATTTACTTATTGTACAATAATAATACACATTATTAAATGTACACATTGAGGGAGGAGAAAACTAAACATGATGAACAAACGTGATTTAATTGAAAATAAAAGGATAAAACCGAGGGAATAATTCGTCATTGATTCATTTGCCATAACAAAACCATAATGTTTGTAGGCGCGTTTTATTTTCTAATTGGTAGTTACCAAAAATTTCATTCCAAGTATCTTGTATTTTTGGTACAAATTACAAATCAACAAGAATTTTACTTTGTATAAGGTAACAATTTTAAAAATTGTTCTTTGCATCATTCACATGCTTGTTAGCTCTAGCTTGTAAATGTCTTTCACACGTCTTTTATCATTACAATTTCGGATTTACTATAAAGTATCGTATGTTTTAAACTTAAACAAAATACCTAAGTGTATGACTCAAAGAAAGAGAAGAAACCTTCAAAGAGATTGTCTTTGAAATTAGTCATGATTTCAACCTTAATTTATTTGAGTCCTTTATAGAAAGTTCAATTGCTCACTTCACTAAACCCATTTTCTTTGCTTCAACTTCATAAATGAGTAACCTCCACATTTTCACAACAAATACTTCGGCTTCCTCATCAAGAACCTAAAATTCAGAAATAAAAAATTTGCTTAGTTTTTATCATAAATAATGTAATATTAATAATAAAAATCACTTACCATTTGTACATCGTCGAGGATGCCTTGAGGCGAACTTCCAGCCATTACTTTACTACAAATAAAATCTACAAGCGTTGGCTCTGGTTCACCAATATATTCAATAATCTTTTTATTTATCCAAGGACGTATTCTCTTTTCCATTAAGGACTAAAAATAACAAATAAAAGAAATAATTTCTTGATCACGTGAAAATTTAAATTTTACTTAAAAGTTAAAAGACCCTCACATTGTCAATAATAGCCCAATCCAACTGATATCCAAAGAGCGCATTTTTATCCGTCGGAATTTTGTCAATGAGAGATTTAATGTGTTTTTTCTTTTCTTCTTGCGATTTTGAATTTTCCTCTTTAGAATTCTTAGAGGATTCTTCAGATTTTTTCTTCTTTTCCTCCCCATAATCTGTAAATAATTATTTCGATAAATCAATTACTTTTATTACTTTGTTTAAAGATAACGTATTCAATGCAAGAATTACCAATAGGTACAAGTTTTCGCTTTTTAGAATTACTCGTGCTATCATCATCGTCATCGTTATTGAAAACGTCTTTGACATCAATGCGATTCTTTTTTTTGGTTTGGCTCGGATTCTGAGCGTTTGGTATCGTACTGGGACTCGCTGGAGTCTTGTTACCAACCGCATGATCTCTCGAGCTACCGAGAGCCATAGCAAATGGCACAAAGTTGCTACCACTAACTTTGTCGGGCTCACTAACGAGCGAGGTTCTCGAGTCCTCATCGTGGTGCAAAGGTTGGATGTGGTGTTGCTGCATGTGAGGCGCTGGCGGAGGTGTGGTCGATCTGATCATCGGCGGCGAGACATTCCTTATTTTTTCCTTTACGAGACTCTCACGCTCAAGATCGATGTGCTGAATATTATCCGGTGCCAGCTCTTCTACAGGCTCGCGGTGATGGTGCCGGTGATGTCTACGATGATGGTGATGATGGGGCCGTGGCGGCGTCCGGGAGATCTCCAAAGGCGGTGGCGGTGGCGCCGCCACAACTCCATTATCGTAGTGCACCCCATCGTCGCTATCACTGTCAATTGGCTCGGTTTCGATCGGCGGCATCTCCTGCACGATCTTTTCCTTGTGCCGCGACACTGGTTTATCGTCTTCCTCGTCGATGATCGTTATCACCGGTTTTGGTTTGTATTGTTCTTCTCGCTCCGCCTTTAGCTGCACAAGAAAAAAATTTTTTTTTACAGGATTCATTAGTCATTCCAAACCTTTCGACGTAAAAAACGTGGACAACGACAAAACTCACCCTTTCAAATTCAGCAGCGGGATCGGCATAACTCGAATCAGCGTAAAGCTTCTCTCTGAGTCTCTGGAGCTCCTGGCGTTCGGCACACCGGTCTCTAGAGTCAGCTTCGGCCTCGACGGCTCGTTCCTCGAGTCTACGCGCAAGCTCCTTGCCCTTGTAAAACTTGGCATCGTCACGCTCATCGTCATAATCCTCGAGGAACTCCTTGAGTCTCTTGGCTTCACGCTCCTTGGCCTCGCGCTTCGCTCGTTTCTTGTCATTCTCCTTTTCGTATTCCTTTTGCTTGCGTCGCTCGCGAGCTTCCCAAGCTCTTAGCCGTTCCTGGTAGGCAGCATCCTTTTCGCGGGCCCGCCTCTCGTTCTTCTTTCTCTCCTTGGATTCCTCCTCCTCCTCGAGCTCGCGCAAGACCTCGCGGTCAGATTTGCGTGCTTCTTCGCGCTCCCGTTCCCGCTCTCTTTCACGTTCGCGCTCACGAATCTCTCGTTCTCGATCTCGCTCTCTGTCCCGTTCACGTTCTCGTTCGCGTTCTCTTTCGCGCTCTCGTTCTCGCTCCTTTTCACGCTCGCTGCGCTCCCGCTCGGCTCGATCGCGCTCCCGCTCACGCTCTCGATCCCGATCCCGATCTCGATCCCGGTGTCGCGACTCGCCTCGCTCGCTCCTCTCCCTACGATCCCTGTCTCGATCTCTTTCTCTAGATCTGGATTCGATTTAAGCGAAACAAGCGTTAATTATTATTGTAACATGTATCGATACGACGATCCTCTAAGAGACAACCAACCTTGACTTGCTTCGGCGCCTGTGCCTGCGACTGCTGTCGGTGCTGTCACCTCTACTTCGATGCGGACTGGAAATTTCACCGTCTGCATCATCGTGTTTGGCATCATCGTCCTTGTTGCGATCTCTGCGTTCTTTTTCTCGCTTTTCGCGCTCCTCCTCTTCTTTCTCTCGCTTCTTTTTCACCTGGGCCTTCTCCTCTTCTTGTTTCTAAAAAATACAAAAATGAAGACAAAATTTTAATTATTTTTTTAAACGAGTTTTTTTTTTTTTCAATGGTACATAAGATCGAGCTTGCTGTTTGTAAAAAACGACAGAGAAGACAAATTAAAAAAAAAAAAAAAGATAGAAAAACGTAAAATGAATTCAATTGAATTTTATCTTTTCAATTTAGGAAAAAAAAAAAAAATTATAGCATACAGTTAAATGCCAATAAATTGGAAAAAAAGGCATTCAGTGATCTATGTCAGTATTTCCAGTCAGCAGTCATAAATGGTGCCAAACTATTCCATACGAGATGATTTTGCTAATTAAAGTAAGAAATCGAAAGATACCTCGTATGGAATTGTATGCATCTTTAACAGTTAATTTTGTATTATTTTTTTCTCTCTATTGTGTTAAAACTACTGACTTGAAAAAATTCATATTGAGCATAATATGTGAATAAATATATGTGTTTATTTTATAAATAAATATTATCTTCGTTTTCGCAGTCTTCATTTTCTTACTCACAACTTTGAAGAACCTGTCGATATATAGGTTGGCCGTTGTTCAGGGTACTCTGGGAGCCTTTATATAGAACGAGAGGAAGAAAGAGAAACAAGATTTCCTCAAAAGGTGGTTTTATTGTTTTTTTTAAAACTAATAACTAAAACTTACGTCTAAGACTTATGATCTAAAGCAATTATATACAAAATAAGAGAAATGTAAAAATTGCTACAGACTATGAGTACTGTATGTAAATAGAAAAGTAAACATGAGGAGAGCGACGTGGGCGTTGGGCTGCACGCATGTACTCACAACACGCGAACGCACCTCTTATGCCCCGTCGTCTCACACACATTGAACGCGTAATGTAATCTTACAAACTATAAAATAATAACTTTCGTCTAAGCCTATTATTTATATCAGATAATATAATTATAATCGATAAGTAGTATATTAGTATGAAGTGTTTCGTTAATATACCGATATTTATTGCAGGACGAAGTCGTCACGCACAGTCGAATTTGTTTGGTCATGGTTCTCCAATAGACAGATAGATCTCGTTGCACTCCACATTTTTAAACAATTTTTTTTTTTCAAGTGCGAGTGCACAAGACAAACCCGCACAATCTCTCACTTTTCACTTTCTCTCTTTTTCTTCCTGATTGATACTTTTTCTCTCTCTCAGCTTGTGTGCGAGATTGTTTCCCGCAGCTTGTGTTTTGATCTCAGCCAAAAACCAGCGACAGCTGTTGAATATCAAAAGCACAATTTTCTCTCTGTTTGAACGACGAGTTTCCTTAATAAACTTCACAAACCTCAACCAATCTCTAAATGTTTAAAGTCCTTTTCTACTTCCTCTTTTTTTTNATATGCGTATTGATATGGCAAGAGGTCATAGTCATAGAGTCGAGAATAATATAATAATAGCACGGCCACTATTACTTAGCATTTTTTTTTTTTTTTTTTTTTTTTTTTTTTTTTTTTTTTTCCTTTTATATTCAGCACTGAATTAAACTAGAGAATTATATGGCAACTGAAAATTGTCGAGCAAGTCTAAGGGAGTTAAAACAGATGAAATGTCTCAGCATGCAGGCACGAACATTTAATTTAAAATTTGCTTTAACATGGTTGGAAAAATATTGTAATGCTTCATTCAATATGGCTTAACATTGGAAAACTGAAATACCTTAACAAATCATTCTTAAAACCGGAAATTTAAGTAAAAGAATAACTTTTTTTTTCAATTGTTTGCTCAAGTTAATTACAAATTTTTGGTTTTTGGAATTTTATTTTCTTAAAACAACCAATTTAACAGTGCAATATTTTTTCATCTAAAAATTCAATGCAAACAAAATTAAAAAAAATATAAAGTGTTAAGTAGTAAACTGATTAAATATTACTCATTAAGATTCATTAGGTTATATAGAAATAAAATGTTCACAGAAATGCAAGTATTTAGAAATGTGCTGTGTGCATCTCTTAAGTGGAGATAGGACAAAAGTTTCTTAATGCAACAAAATGAATGGGCAGCCTTTACACGAGAAACTTTTTTTTTTTTTTCATTGGCTTTGCTTTGCCGGTTTTGTTGTTCATTGTTGATCAATTTTTTGTTCATTTTGGTGATTTTTACTCACGGTATCACGTGGGCTGCTGGCAGTGCCGAGGGGCGCTGGATGAAAGCACCTATGGTACTACGTACATGTCTGATCGTGTGAGAAGGCCGAGCAACACTGGCTGTTTACACAAAATAAAGAACAACTGAACGCTCTCCGTGTCGTTGATAAGAAGAAGTAAAAGTTTGTGTGTTTGCCTAGTGAGGCTCTCTTGCTTCTTATACTATCCATTTTTGTACATGTAAGTAATTCATGCCATTTTTAAGCTTACAAATAATTAATAGATGATTAACCATTAACGCAGCTGAAAAATTTTAGTCAAACAGAGCTCTACCTTTTGGTAGTGCGACTATTCTGACTACCTCCTTAGAGCGATTCTTAAAACGAAATAAAAACAAACGAAGCGAGTTTGAGCGTCCCTCCTCTCGGCTGGATTCTCGTTGATTTTCGTAGCTTTATCGTAAAATAGAACAAGCAACTTGTCCCTCCCACCCCTGCCTAACATTCCAACTACCCAGTTATCAACCACCGTTTCGAAATTTTGATGCAAGAGCTTATATTAAGGCATTGTAAACAATCATTACCTTCATTACTTCTCGAAACTTTCCGATTTCCCGAGTGATAAGGTCACGCTTACTTTCTTCGATCTCGGCGTCATCCAAGTTCAGCATTTTAGGCATCACCACTGTTTTTACAGGCTCATCTGACGATTCATATGATTTTGTTAATGATTTCGATTTATTTCAGCATTTCAGTATTTTTACGTTTTGAAAGACAAACCTGCATTGTTCGTAATTGTTTCTAGGCCAGTTAGGTGTTCACTTATGATTAGCTGGATTCGCGTGACTGCTTCATTATCTATGGCTTTCATTGTATCATCCATGTAATCATCATTATCATCAGACTCAGCAGGCTCACTTTGTGTCTCATCTTGCAAAGGAGATGATCCTCCTTTCAGTTTTTTTCTTTTTTCAGCTGACAAAGTTGTTATTCAATGAGGTTTAGGTGACATTAAAATTGTTCATCGTTTGTTTTATTGCGTAACATTAATTACCAAATAAGTCGTGAAATTGTGAAATAAATCTGGTACATACCTTTGAACTGATCCAATATAACTTTTGTTTTTGCATCAACTTTGACTACTAGTTTTTTATTCCCAATTTCCATGTCATGCAATATTCGGATAGCTCGCAAGCCTGCATCTGGGCCAGCATATTCACAAAATCCAAAAGCTTGCACTCTTTTCCAATTCATAACATGACCACAAGCACCAAGTATTTGCCTGATCATATTATCAGGAGCACGATCCATAATATTACCAACAAAAACAGTGACTGGTGGACCTGTCTCTCTTTCTCTCTTCACTACAGGCTTTGGTGGTTCTGTCTTTGGTGGTTGGGGTGGTAGTTGTGGCTGTGGTGGGGGTTTCTGGTTGTTGTATCTAACAGCTGGTGCAGAAGTTTGCATTGCCGATACTGGTGTGGGTACCATCTAAAAATGAAATAGGGCACCAATAGATTTTCAAATGTCATCAATCTATGCAGTATCAATTACAGTTACAGATAACTGTAATAATTAAGTATTAATAAAAATATTTGTAGAACTTACGTTTTCAAATACATGAGGAAACTATCGTAATATGAAAATAAAATAACTTTTAGTGGTCGTACTATTTGATCAATGGTGATAATTTACAGTTGTTGGTCAGTAAGACGTATCAATAGGAAATAAAAGAATCTCAAACAAAAAGGCCTAAATTATTGTATACAGCACATGATTAACATAAATGAACACATAAATAAAATCTAATGATACAATTCTGAAATATAATTTCTTGGTTGAGTAGTAAAAAATAATATATAAATACAATTTGTTGCTTAAACATTTTTAGTAATAAAATCAAGACTGGACTCACATGAGGCATTGGCATCATGCCTCCCAACATGGGTGGTGGAGCACCCATCATATATGGCATGAGCGGCATACTTGGAATCTCACGGGGAATCTCACGGGGAATCAACGGGGTCTGTCCAGGGTACGACATTTTGCTAGATACACACTTTGACGGTATCCAACTGAAAATGTCCACCTGAAAATAATACTTAACTTAAATTTGGTTGACCCAGCCTGTGAAGTCATTCATCGCAGACAAACAAATTGGCTGTAAGAGAGAAACGAAACAGATGTGTCATATACACAACCTGATTCACGATAACAACAATGATTATAATACCAATAAATGGGCAGAGTAGGTAAGCAACGATTTGATCAACTAGAATATGTAAAAAAGAAGAAAAAAGAAGTGAAAAAAAAAAAAACAAGCCATCCCGAGAGGGGGAGTAGACGGCGTGTGCTCGTTGCTCCGACTTTTATGGTACTTAGTAGAAAAACGATATGAACGAATAACCTGCAAAATGAATGTGGGTGCCAAGCAATGCCAAAAAACCAAAGATCCTAAGGATTGGAAATTTTTTCACTGTTGTATTATTGCTTGAGGAGGAAGAAGAGGCACTTTCGAGGCACGCAAATCAAAATCACACGGAACCTAACCACCAAAACCTCTTGACTCTAGAGAATGAGCACTCGCGTGTAAATGGCATTATCGCGTCCGTAAAATATAACTAACACATTTGGGCTTGCTTGTGCCGCGATTTTTCTTTTTTACAGCATCTTTTGTACACTATGGATCTTTGTAAAACACTTACTCTGCTTTCGTTAGCACGGATCAAGGAACTTTAGCCATGGCTAAGCAGAGTGTGTGTGTGTGGACGAGGGGTTGAGTTTTTAGGGGGGGCAGACGACCAGGCTTGCACCGCCTCGCAGCTAATACGATGCGTGATTGCGTGTGTGATGTGATTTTATCCTTGTCTAACACGTCACGCACATATTATTCTTTTCTTGTTTGTTATCCACCTTCTCTCTTCTTAATTATCACAACGAGTTGCTATAGTTAATCTTCAATCAAGACGAATTTCTTGTGTGCACCATAATTTTAGGTGTGGTGGACAGCTAGCTGGTCTCGCAGATGGTTTCTCTTCTTGCACACTGCAGCTTCGTAATACGATGGCGACTTTTTGTCTGCTATGTACGACTTTAGGCGCAATATAAGAAAATTACAGACACTTTTTTTTTACAATAACGCACAGCGTACTGTATACTAAACTTATACGCCGCTACACTCACTCATGATATTATTAAGTAAGTAGTGAAAATTAAAAAATTGAAGGACAAAAATGTATTAATTCAAGACAGTGCTGCTGCCGTGTCGCTTCAGAGAAAAATTATTGTCCACTGCCGGCTCGTTGTTTCTGCGCTCGATTTCAAATGTTTTTTGGTTCTTCAATTTTTGACAGCGAAACTTTTTATTCTTAAACATTAAAATACACATCTTTATAATATGGACCGATTCACGAAATTTCTTTCCGTTATTGCCAAACAACAGGGATTATATTCTTTCGAAAATCGACCTACATAATATATCTGAATGAATTACTGTGATTTTACCCCAATTAATATTACCGTTTCAAGTTATGGTGTTTCAAAATTATAATTATTTGAAAAATATGATTTGTTTTAATTCACCAAATAAGTTTCATTGGGCCACATTTTACGAATTAGGGCTTCAAAATCTCTCTTTCATACCATGTGATCGCACCCTTAAAGTACAAATTGTCATAAGGTTTGGTCGAAACCGGAAGATAAATTAAATATAAACATTTTTTATATACTTAATTGAATTTGAAAAATTTTTTTCTCTCACGAAATAAATTTTCAAATTCATTCGTGTGCAAATGTAAAAAAAATATTTTTTCATGGACGGATAGTTACGTTATCATTCAAAAAACTTGTCCAATTTTATTCACGCGATAAAAGAGCTATTCACATAGACATTTTTTGCTTATTTCATTGTGAACCTTCATATTGAAAAAGGGGTTCCACTGTTCCGCTAAACTCAAATTGAGTAAACAGACTGAACAGACCTATACTGTGTTCTCTGTCAGTCAACATAGTTGCGACCATACTTATAGGCTTTGTTGCCTGATGGAAAAAGCGGTATAGGTCTGTTCAGTCTGTTCACTCACTTTGAGTTTAGCGGAACAGTGGAACCCCCTTTTCAATATGAACGTTCACAATGAAATAAGCAAAAAATGTCTACGTGAATAGCTTCTCAATATCAACATTCACAATGAAATAAGCAAAAAATGTCTATGTGAATAGCTCCATAGGATATGTTCGGAGGCTGATTGGAGAGAGAGAGAGAGAGCGGGAGAGCTGATAACGCTCGGGCCCGCCGCCGAAAGGTGATCATCCGTGTGTTCCACCGTGTGTTCCAGTAGCGCTCTCCGACAACTTAAACATGACGCAAGATATCGTAAGACATAATTAAGTTGTCGGTAAGTTGCCGGAGAGCGTTACTGGAACACACCCCCTCAGGCTGCGTATCATGGAGTCCTCATATATACTTCATACTCTATTACTCTCTGTAATCTGTAACTCTGTTCTCTGTATCCGCTGCTCATGCGCCGTGAGAAGTGAGTCTTGGGCGCGAAGTTCGCGCCGCGAACTTACAAAGGCTCTAGATCTAGATACTGACAGTATCATACTGTACGTCACAATACTATATGACATACACACACTTACGCAGCAAGTGTATACGTATAGAGGCACCATTCTACATATTATTTATAAGCAGCTGATCGGCGTCTTTTTACAAACGGATTTTTTTTTCTCAGAAGTGTGTGTGTGTGTGACAGCCAGAGAAAGAGATAGGTATATAGTATATAACTGTATAGTGTATGTAGTATGTATAGTAAAATACTAAAAGTGAGAAGTGAGAAGTGAGAATGAGAACCTGAGAAGTTGAGAACGAGAGAGAGAGACTACGAGAAGAATACCTTACCTACATATATGTGTGTATGTATTTAAGCTGTAAGCATACGTATAACACACTATACACGTATAATAAAGACATGCGAGAGAAAATGGCAGAAAGCAAGTTGGCCGTGTCAAGGAAGGAGCTCCAGCTTTAGCCAGAAATTTCAGTGCGAGTACAGTACCCGAGTTGTTGGAAAAAATTTGGTTGAACGGTGATAAAGTTATGTTTGTGATTTTTCATTAAGGTAAGTCAATTGATTGAAATTTTCTTATTTTCAAGGGCAACCGTGTTGGCTGGTGTGCCAAGAAAGTACTGAGTGCTTGGCTCTTTGCTCCAAATTCTTGCTAACTTGTTCGAGATATTCGTGCTCGTGTCTGAGCGAGTGGGATTATTTTGGCTCTGCTGCGCGTGGTATTTGCTTGAGGACGATTTTGATGCTAGAATTTACGTATTTTTTGTATTTTGGACCAATGAAAGAGTCTACCCTCGAGGCCTAATTGTCGCACACCTTTTTCTGTCCACCACTTGTGAAAGCCAGTGAACTGAGTTTATGACTCTACTGGCGGTGTCCGTCCGACAAAAAAGTTCACAGGTTCTCGATGATTCCGACGAGATACTGCTTGTGATGGTTGAGTTATTTGTTAATTGTTGCAGAGCCAAGTGAAATTTGTCATTTGGTGCATTGTTTGTATATACATAGATACATATTTGTATATATACATACATGTATGCTACCTGTATATACAATTTATGAAGATTTGATATACAGGCAATTATACGTTGATCGTCTGCTTTTTGTTTTATTTTTATGTGCATCCATAGGTTGGCCGAAATCTGACTTGGTCAGAATTTGTTTTGATTAGTTTAAACAATTTTTAACTATGTTTTATAGCAGTTTTTATTTTTGATATAACGGCATCAGGTAAACTTTTTTACAAAAAACGTACATTGCAGCACTGAGAGTCATTAGTGTTTTTATCTCATGAATGTTTCTATTGATGAATCACGTCTAAAAATACATGCACTCCGCATTAATACTTTTGTAAATGCATATTTATTCATATTATTTTGGTAAACTTATTTTCTGTTGGATTTGTCCAGTAAATATTATTCTTACAGTTAAATTAATATCCCAATCTAAATTGTTGTTGCAGATAATTTATTGTAACCAAAAAGATATAATATGGCACCAAGAAGAGCTGAGGAGTTCCCTCTGAAGAGAGTTGCGGCATTAGGCTGTCGTTTGCCATCCCGTCTTCCAGCGGGAGAAATTTTAACAGATATAACAGGAAACTTATGGAGATTAGGTAATTCAATAGGTTGTGGAGGTTTTGGAGATGTTTATCTTGGTAAGTACGATTAGATGTTATGGTTTTGGACAACAGGTTAATTATTTTTTAAACTATTCTAGCATCAAATGATATTCATAAATCAGTTGGTCAAAATACTAAATATGTCATTAAAATTGAGCCACATAATAATGGACCATTATTTGTTGAAATGAATTTTTACATCAGAGCCGCAAGAAAACAAATGAGTAAGTCTTTGGTTGGACAAAAAGTTTAATTAATATACATGGGAGTAATAAACAAAATTTGAATTTATTTACAGTTGACGAATGGTGTAAAATACAAAATTTGCGTCAAGTTGGCATACCAAGTTACGAAGGATCAGGTTCTCATATCTATAAGAATGAACGGTATCGATTTTTAGTTATACCCCGTTATGGACAAGATGTAGGAAAACTTTTTATTTCAAACGGCCGAAAATTATCTAAAAAGCTTATCAATAGTTTAGCTGTTCAAATGGTAAGCAAAAATTTATTGTCTAACTGAATTGAAAATATAAATGAGCTTTGTATTAATTGTCAACCTTTTTTATTTTTTAGTTGTATGCATTGGAGTACATTCATAGTAAAGGTTATGCTCATTCTGATGTGAAAGGATCAAATATTTTGTTGAAAAAAAATTACGATTATAGCTCTGAACTTGAAAAAACAAGAGCATTCCTCGTTGATTATGGTTTAGCTTACAGATTCCGTACCAGTAATGGTGCACACAAACCATTTTTTCACGATGAAAGACGAGCTCACGAGGGAACATTGGAGTTTACATCTCGTGACGCTCATCACGGCAGTAAGTAGTAGCGATTCAAATAAAACTAAGTAATTGTATTTTTATCTAAAATTGATCACAACTTTTCTCGTTTTTAGCACACTCAAGAAGAGGAGACTTGGAAACATTAGGGTATAATCTACTTCAATGGTTATGTGGAAAGCTACCATGGGAAGATGACAATGGGGGACTATCTCCATCCGCAAACCCAGATGAAATTCATGACAAGAAAGAAAACTACTTATTGGATGTAGATTCTTTCATGAAAGCATGTTTCCAGGACAAAAAGCCACCAGGTAATAATATTGCACCTGACTCAATCGTAAATTTTTTTTACATTCGTATTTTAAAACCCTGGTGTTTTCATTACAGAAAATATAACGAATTACATGAAATACATTACCAATCTTAAATTCGAATCTGAACCAGACTATGCGTATCTGCGAAGCTTGTTCAGACAAGATATGAGTTTTGAAAGTCTTTTCGGTAAAAGAAAGTCTTTTGCAAATGAAAATTCCGCAGCTATCGAGAAAAGAAATAACAGACCTAATCTACGAGAGCGAAAACCCTGTAAACCCCTAAATCGTGAAGTACGTATATGTTTTGCTCATGTGATTGGTAATCATAGAGAAATTCATCAAGTGTAAATTATACATCTGTCCTATAGAATCATCATTTACTATGATCCAATCATGAAAGCATAAATAAAAGTTGTTTGTGTCCTTTCAGATTCGAATCACGCGAAATACTCCGTCGTCAGTTGAACAGGACAAGGAGATCGATGACTTTAGATGGGAGGAGGTGTTGGCCCGTCACCCAGACAGGCTGGCAAAGATCAGTGCACAGCCACCCTCGTCACCGCTCACTCCGCCGCCGTCGCCGCCGCCCCCGACACTCCCCACCTACGCCATGCTCGCCGTATTGCAGCGAATGAAGGAGCGACAAACTGGTTTGGTGAGACAGCGAACGAACTCCAAGTCTTCCGAGTGAGTGTTGTCTTTCTTTTTATCTCCTCCTCTCTAACATGGGTTTTCTTTATCGTTTTGCTTGTGAGAATGGAATTCAAACATACGAGTAATATAATCATGTGAATTTCCCTTTGTCTTTTTTTTGTTTTTTTTGTTACGGTCATAGTAATGAACTTAAAGCAAAGTGGATGACACCAGCTATGGAAGAGGTAGCTCTGTTACGAAAAAAGAATCAGGAGCAGCTTGACAATAATGTCAATGAAACCAAAAGACTAACGCGTTCTCGTGTTGCGCAGCTTAAACGTATGTATTAGTGTAATAAATTATTTTTAATTTTTATTCAAACGCAATTTCAACTATTATTTTTGTTTTAGGAAAGAGACCTAGTAGTGGTAAACAACAGGAGTCGAAAAATATTTCTAATCCTAACGCGTTCTCGTGTTGCGCAGCTTAAACGTATNACTTTTATTGGCCAAAAAACCAGTGCAGTTTAGTATTACCGGACTTTGGAGCTCACTTTACCGCGTAACTGTGGTGTGCACGCAAAAAGTCCATACAATGCTCCTGATAGCCTGTATAAATATACGTAAATAATACTGGTACATATCTCGCCACTTTTTCGTAAGACTGCCTTTGCCAACGCTACTAGTTATGTAGCTTTGGTAATTAAAACATCTCCTCGATCGACCATCTATTACTTCACCATTATTCTAATTTTTACATACTTATTTTCTCTAAATCTTTTCATTATCATTTTTTTTAATTAATTACACTTGGCTCATGTTTAAATTAAAAGCTAATCTTGTTAAGACGGAATCAATTTTTATCTTATACTTTTAATTCCTTTTTTTCGATGTCATTTAGATTTTTAATATTTTGTTAAAACTTTGTATATGCGTATTGATATGGCAAGAGGTCATAGTCATAGAGTCGAGAATAATATAATAATAGCACGGCCACTATTACTTTACCTTTTTTTTTTTTTTTTTTTTATATGTATTACATTATAAGCCACTGTTTATAAAAATTTATCCGAAATTGAAAAATCAACTATCCTAAGTCTCGGTGAAACCGTCAAATTCTTCGTATTTAAGTGCAAAGGTTTCAACGTTTTCTTTGAGCAAACGAAGGTTAATTGTAAATATGAAGTGAATAGTTGCAAAGTTTTTTCACGATTAATTTGTGATAATAATATATTAATCGTTAAGTTGAACGTACCTGTGCCACTGACACGTTTATATAAAAATATGAAAAGTAAGTATGAAAGTCGCCAAGGAGCCGACGCTTACTGTGCAAATAAATAATCAATCTTGAGTTTTTAACGAGAGAATAATCGCTTTTAATGTGAAAGGCGCGGAAAAAAAATAAATCATGGTATAGAGAAAAATTATTATAGATCTTTGTTTATTGATTAGATAAAAATATTTGATAATGAAGACTAATATCGTAAAAGTTGTAGGGTTCTTTTGTACATTTTAATCTTAATCGCTTATATAAAATGTAATATGTCCATATTGTACTACAAAAATATAGACTCACGATGTGCATTTAAAGTAAAACTAGTCTTTCTTCATTTTACCCACTCTCCGTCGTCGTTATCCTCCTTTACCTTTTACCCCACACATGAACCGATACACGCCTCCATAGTCGTGCCAACGGTAATTTTCAGTTTTCATTCCACAACTAGGTACATTGTAATCGTACGAAAGCAGCGATCTATCATCAAAATCATTCGACTACGAAAGTCCGAGCCGACAGAAAAACGAAATACCCAAAAGACAGCACGCTACGATGCAACGAAGAACGAAGCTTGAAAATTAAAAACTCTGTACATGTTAAAGACACTTCAACAATAAATGCAAAACAATAAATTGTGTGCTCGCCGATTTGAAGAAAAAAAAAATGCACGAGAGAGTAAGGGAGCGAGATGACCTTCTGTAATATTGTACCCATATACTTTTATGTATTCCTGAAAAGTGTCGATGCCGAGAGAGTGTTGGTGTCTGTATGTCTCCATTCATTTCTCCGCGTCGGATGATAATAATAATAACATTGGAAGCCCGCCGGCAGTGGTTGCAGCTCCCCCACGTACGTTTCGCATGCGATACCGCGCCCTTCCTTTATTTATTTTTAATTTTTTTCGTTTAAAAATTTCTGCCGGACAAGTGTACGTGTCCCTCGCACCGGACACGCGAATTATATGCTTGGGAGTCGGAGAGCGCGACGAAATTTATGGCTCGTTTTATCATATGAAAATTAGGATGGGGCCCCCGGATCGATGCTCGTGTGGATGAAGGGGTATATACATACGGGATACAATTGTATAGTGCAGGGGGGCGATTTAATTTTTTTCCGTTTGGATTCACCGATGGTTGGCTCCGTACCCAAGTAAGATGTTAATTTTGTGTATGCTTTAACCATCGATATAACTTTGAAGAAAAATCTTTGATTGTATATGTATTTACGGTGCTTCGGTTGTACGCGTTAAGTACATGCGCGCGATGTAATAATTATCAGGCGCTTCGTTGAAGCGAAAAAAAGCACTTGCTCCGAAACTCCGCATCAACGCGGGTGTGTCCCTCCCCATATATACATATATACATATAATATATGCTATCCTCAAACGTCGTGAAATCAACACGCGCTCACGACACACATAGAAGAGTCATTCATTCGCTTTTATACTACACGTTCGTTCATTCATTGCGTTCTCGTTCACACAGGACCGTAAATATAAATATGTACAAGCTCATATTACGCGTTATACCTACATATATATTGGGAAACTCTTTTTTTTTTTTTTTTTTTTCTTTTTTCAGAGGACCCAATAGTTTTTTAATTTTGCGTATCCCACAAATTACTACTGCTCTCTGACTTTGGGGAGACTCAAGTTTAAATTCATGAACAGTAAGTACTCACTTGTAAAAGATGAAATTGCATGCAATAAAACTTCTTTTCCGCAAGTGTACAGTAAGATATTAATATTTACATCGATCTGTATACCTTCTAAACCAGAAAACGTATTTTAAAAAACTACAGCGTCTGCCACAAAACGACCATCCGCTCTTTGTACTGTACCCTAATGAATTGAAAAAAAAAAAAAAAAAAAAAAAATGGCGAAATCAACTGAAATTCCCGTAAGTATAACACTATGTATATACCCTTGAGAGAGAGAAAGAGGTGTACATAGGTATACGTATATATACTTTTATTGGCCAAAAAACCAGTGCAGTTTAGTATTACCGGACTTTGGAGCTCACTTTACCGCGTAACTGTGGTGTGCACGCAAAAAGTCCATACAATGCTCCTGATAGCCTGTATAAATATACGTAAATAATACTGGTACATACCTATTTATATACCTATACGCTATTAACGTTTACAGTTGGTCAATATTCTCACACTCACCTGACGCGGGCGTGAGTAAATCACTTTCCCTTCATTACGCCCAAAAAAATATAATCGAGCCAATACACTCAAAAGACGAGAGAGATGTGCGTATACATATATACTTGAACGTATTATTATAATAAGCAGTTGGTGTGATTTATGTATAGGTACACGTACACGCGCGTACATTATCATTATCATAGTTACGCGTTAAAACGTAAGTGTATACACTAGGTGCACGATTTGTTTATCGGTGGGTATAAACCTCGCACACCACCTCCATCATCCTTTCCGAAATTGAAATCAAAATAATCCCCACTTTGCATGACTTTCGTACGCGCGATTCCAGGAGGGAATAAAAAAATAATTTTTTTCTCACGCTTTCGCTTTTTTTTTTTTTACCATTGATATTTCTCAAAGTAAGTACTTACCTGTAAGTTGATTTTCTTTTTTGTCTATATACATACTGTACCAATTACCGCAACAAATCCACGGAGTGGACACGGGTGTACATATATATATATATGTATATCCCTTGGCATTATGCAGGAAGGAAACGCGATCCGAACAATTAAAAAAACAAACACCCGAGTAATGGTTGCAAGGTAGAAAAAGAAGAAAAAATAAACCAGCATCAGGTGTAACGTATACACGATTATTATATCGCATACATAGGTGTATACGTGTGTATTTGGTTGGTGTATCGAGTGACAAGTGGCGGGAGCGTCGAGCGCATCCGAGTTTTTGTTCCCTCGCTGCTCGAAAAACGTACGTTGCTGCTTGACCATCACTGGACAGTCGGTACGAATTGTACGAAAATTTATACGTCGCAGGTGGTTTAAAAATACATTAAAATACTTTTTTTTTTTTTTTACACGCGTCTTTGATTATTTTCTTGGTATGAGTGAAAACAACAATTTATAGGGGGCGATGAGGGTCGTTTGAAAAAGTTGTCAATACAAATTTTCTGTAGAAGCTGGTAAGAAGTCGAAAACACATATGTAAATAGAATGAATTGCATTAAAAGACATTTCGTATGAGACTTGTTGAGTTGGATATAACAATATAATTATATTCGGACAAAAAGCTGCGTTAACATGGATGATCAAGTTATGAGGAATTTTTCATCCGTGATTTATCATTTTTTTTGTTTTATTCATATTTGAGGGAAAATTACAACTTTGGTCGATTTCAAACTTCTTTAGGCAGAGTTACGCGAGTGTAAAATATTTAATAACAAAACACAACTGAATTATTCGATGAGTCTTGTTGAGTCAATAAATAATTCAAACAACAAAAAGTTCCTCAAACTTTTGAGATGTGCAACTGTTGTCTACTTTGATGACCTACTGTTTTAAACAAAATTCATAAGTCTACACTTGAATACACAATACTTACTGAATAATAACATTTTTTCCCTACTTAGATATATTTATAAATAAGTATCCATTCGGCGAAAACGGGAGCAGAGCTTTGGAGATGGGCGATGGTGGGGGTAACACCCAGCCACACCACACCACATCAGTAACCAGCCGGCAAGCTCGATCGCCGCCCGCCGCCCGCCAGTCGAGCCCAGTCCATGTGTGTATGCAGTGCGTTCCGGTCGACGTGAGCGGCGGAGTCTCGTGTGTTTTTTTTTTACGAGAACTACAAGGGCTCTCGTCGTTGTTTTCCATTTCTGACAATAAGGATTTAATTACTTACGAGCACGCGCGCGTCAACTCATAAGTGGTACGTGATAAAGTATATAACATATATTATCCACTTGCACAAAGAAAAGTGAACAAGCATACAACAAGTGACAACAAACCAAACGTGTGCAAAAATTATTACCTCCTCAGTATAGTATATAGAGCCTACCTACCTATAATACCTCGTATAATACCGCTTATACGGGATAAACAGCGTCGAGGAGGAGAGAAAAAAGGGGGCATGAGCGGGAGAGAAGATGAGAGATGAGCAGCAGCACCAGCTCAGCTGCAGCAGCCGGCTGGAGCGAGCCGATGGTGGCGGTGGTGCTGTACACCATCATCGTCTGCCCGAGCTGCCTCCTTGCCGGGGCAGGAAAAAGAGCGAGGACGACGAGGCGAGGATGAGCGAGGCTGCCGTCGACTCGGACGGTTCCATCAGCTGGGAGGACTTTATCGGTGAGTCCTTTTGGCATTTTGTAATATTGTTGATCTTTCGTGTACCTACACATCGTACTAATATAGGTGGTAAACCTTCAGTCGACTCTTGCCTTCTATTTGTTTACACGTTTACGTTTCTTTCTTCTGCAGTGTGCATGGCATGTATAAAAGCACTGTTGTGCCCAAGTGCGTTGTTATCGTTATCTCGCGCTGCGATAGGAAGGCACCAGAGCATACTGCTTTTATGTGTCAAGCGTGTTTGTTTTGTTTGTCCTCCTCAGGACGCGTCACACACAACTTGATACAACTTTTGTTTACCAAGTAGATATATACTTATACAAGTACCAAACGCTGATAACATATTACATAGGAACGCTGTACAGTGCGTAGTAGTTTGCATTGTAACCTTATCGGTCATTATATTTTCATCAGAGATGCATGAAATTATTTATCCATGTAGGGATACTTACACCTTTAAATATGAGTAAAATAATCGGGGGGTGAAGTATACGCAATAACCACTTGTCATTTGTTTTCTTTTTTTAGTACACCTACTTATGTAGGTACAGGTGCGTGTTTTTTTTTTATATTATATGCTCCGGCTCCGCGTGCGTTAATCAAGACCGCGACCGCACGGTTGGAGGGTCAGATGCATGGCGAAAGTGAGAGTTGACAGTTTTTGGAAAGTAATTACGCAAAGTTTTGTCGACGTCAACGTGATTTTTTATCAAAAATTTTTTAATAAGCACTTGCATCCCATAACTGATTCCACATTCATACACAAACTAGCGTCACCAAAGTATCGATAACGTATTTTTTTTTTTTTTTTTTTTAATGTTCCTTACTTGCATGCACAAGGATGAGGTGAGAAAAAATATACATTATAGTATGTGTTGTCCTTTTTCTTCACTGTGGTTGAGGTCATTAAACCGTCATGGTAATAACGAGCTTTTGTACATTCCAGTGTTATATTATTTCATTCTGTCTTTACATATACTAGGAGAGAGAAGAGTGAAGTAGTATTATCTACTTATCAACATACAGACAATATTCATACAAAACTTGTTCTTACCTACATTTACGTACGTGTATACGCGGTATATAATATGTGCTTGTGCAAAATTGTACGTGAAAACGAGTTTCGCATGTAAAGGGACTGGAAGAGACGTATACTCTGTTTGCGAAGTAAATATCGTACCCACACATCACTAGCCTTGAAAATCATTTTTTCCTTTTCTTTATTTGCAAGTACTATCGATTGTCTTTTGGAAATACACATGTTTATATAGCTGATGGCAAAATTCGCTAAACTAACAGTTTGTCGTGTTCCTTCTTTCGCTAAAAAATTCAAATGAAAGAACCGACGAAAAATCAAAAGAAATGATAAAACAAAGTACATATCGGTACATAATATACTTGGCATGACAAAGCAAGGTCTTTATATTCTACAAGTCGAGGCCAAGATACGTGCAGTTGAATCCCGAGCCAAATTTATCCAACCGAAAAAAAAAAAAAAAAAAAAAAAAAAAGAAGAGCGCCCTTATATCGAGCTCTATTATACTGCCTGCAGTGTAAGTATATATATTATACCCTCTAGCTATTACTAGCCCTGTAGCAGCTATGGTTCAAAAGGTCAGGCGTGCAATTGTGTCTGCCGCTCCATGACTTGGCCTCGCCGCTGCGGTACTTACATCTCATATTATATTGTCGTGACCCCGCGTGCCCAAGAGTCGAGCTACAACTACCCCCCTGCACGACCCCTCTATACTCCCTGTACAATACACACGCATATATTGTACCGCGATGTTTGGCAAATCGCATCATGATTAAGAGCATACTTTTTTTCCTTGAAAAAACTAACTTTTAGATCGTCATACGTATGATGTATACTATTATTATTATTAATTTTTTTTTCGACAACCACAACCGACTCTCTAAACTTATAATATATAGCAATGCACGCGGTAATATTATACGAGGGGAAATACCTATATATACATGTATACACATGCCACATAAGTAGGGGGATGCTGTATATTTATATGGGACTCGGCTAGCAGATGTAACTAGTTCTGCGAGCGAGATACATACGCGAGAGAGGGAGAGAGTGGGTCAGCGACCGATGGGGCTGGTCTGGTGCAGTATACTTATACTGTATACACTGCACACCGTATACCGCACTCTCCTCCATCTACACATTATAGATCCGCACGTGCATACATATATATATATATATATATAATAAAATCAATATTTATATGTGTAAGTGCACGCGTTACGCTATTATAATGAAGAATGAGATTGGGGTTGGAGGGGGTGGTGGTTGGCCTCCCTCTTTCATTGCACCCCTGAAAAATATAGATCCGAGGGAATGAAAGCCTGTAATTTGATCAAGCGGTCTGTGCAAGTAGTCGTGTGTGTGTAGCTATAGGTGACGAAGAAAGACGTATACGCGTGACTTGTGCGATATTACATAGCTATTGTACGCTTTGAGATCTTTGCGATTGGATAGAAAAAGTTAATATGTATTTTTATAGTATCTCGTTTCTTTTTCTTTCAACGCGTATCTATATATATATCAGTGTGTGGCGATGAAAAAAATGTATTTATCAGTCAACCGATGATAATCGGAATCAATATCCTGTGCTTTTTTTATGCGGTGCGGTGATAAGCATCACCGAAACGATCAATAATCACGAGTGATTGTCGCAAAATAACATTTAATGAAAAATGTGTAACATACAGTAGACTTGGGTACTGTCTCTCCTCGAATCAACGTCTTATTTAATTATCGTTAGACTCCGGTCGTAACGAGTATAGGTACTAATTTTGACGCCCGAAACAATAATTGTAGACGAGACACCTCTACGTCCAACGGACAGACAAGGAAACAATAATTGCAATCAACGCGACGCTACATCATCGTGCAGGGAAATGGGCCTTTCATTAACAGCGAAAACAACACGGACACTGTCTTTATTCATAATAATAGTGATGATAAAAATAATTCGACGCAACAGCATTCGCGTATAGGTACAATGAAAGTGGGCGCTGACACGTGCAGTACGTCTCCTATGCGTTTTTTTGTTTTGAACGTGTCCCTCGCCTCTTCGCTTACATATACATTATAGAGGGCCTTTGAGATTGTTCGTATAACCGGAAGACCGACGAAATTAAGTCCTCCGACGACTCTTTGAAGAAGAGAAAGAGACGTACTTTTTTTTTTTCCTTCTTTTTATTTAGTAATCCGCCAAAGTCTTTGGGTGCGCGTGTGTGTACACAGAGACCGTTTCCAAAGTGCGGTAGGGCCTGCGTGCACTTCCTGTCATTGTGGGCGCCTCGGAGAACCGAGAGTCTCCGTTCATGAATATTTTATAATGCGCGCACGGTGTGGCTTGTTTCACTCCCAATCACTTTGCTGCAGTCATTTTTTTTTTTTTTTTCTTTTTTCCCTCCCATCCACATTTTAGTCTCATACTAAAATAATCAGTCTCTGTTGTTGTTGCTCAATCGAGAAAACGCTATTTCATTTTTAGCCGTGCGGTGGTGTGCAACTGTGTTTATGAATTACAGATACGAATGTTTTACAACAAAAAAAAAAGGGAAAAAATCTTCCGTCACTTTCGAAAGACACTTTCCTTCGCGGTGGATAAGAGTACGGCGATGATAAGAATAGCGATAAGTCAATATGTACGTCGGTGTTCTCGTCGGTGTTTGTATGCGTTTCATAAGCCTCGCATTCCCAAAGTCGTGAAAATATATAATCCGCGGCTCACGCGATTCTTGTTTTTTGTTTTCTTTTTCTTCCGAGTGAAAATACGAAGAAAACAGCGCGCAAGTTTTTTTTTCAATTTGGCTGGCCCTGTTTGTCTATACAAGTATCGCCGCAGTGTTCACGATGACCCAAATAACCCAAACCTGTTTCGTGTACACACGAAACAAATTTCTCAATCAAAGCTCGTACAAAGCGGACGTACGACTCACGCGCGACAAAAGCAATACCTATTCAATGCTATACCCAAAATTTAAAAAAATACCCCTCAAAATGTACAGTGATTTTTGTACGGCGAATTTTTTCGCGCCTCGATGCGATTTTGGTCGTTTATTCGATGATCCCCCCAATTGATTGCTTCTGGGGTTTAGGACTGTGGTGTGCTAAAGTTTTTTTTTTTTTTCATTCCAATGCGAGTGAAACGAATTTCTCCATACAAGTGTAGACTCTTTGTTCTTTCTCTGGTGCATAAACCTCGGAACTTTGGTGTGATATGTATACACCCGCTAAAAAAAATAGATACTTAAAGGGTTGTTGCGTGTGTATACTATGTATAAAAGTACTTATGTATTCTATCCACTAAACGACGTCGGCATCGTCATCGCCGGTATATATAAAGTAAGTACACCAACAAGCGGCGCCTTGAGCTTTTTTTTCTTTTTTTTTTCTTTTCCAGCACCTCTGCTCTTTTGCTCTCACTCATCTGCACGTGTATTCAAGTGCCCGGGAAAAGCATCGTCTTTTTCCCCGCCAACTTGCTCTATCCGCGTGCGCTTCTTTTCCTCGCGCGAGAGATAAAAAAGACGCGTCTCACCCCAACGCCTCGCGGTTAATTTCTTCCTTCAATACCGCCGACTGCGTCCTCTTTACGGTTTGTATACGCGTATACCTACACACACGTACAACGACAGAGCGCGTGTCGGTACACCTGGTGAAATTTTGCGCTTTTCACAATATTCGTCGTAGATCTCCTGCATTTGTCCCCAAGTGGACCTCTCATTGAAGTTGCGAAATCATCGGCCTTTTTGTTTTTCATGCTCACTCCTGAGCTCGATATCTTTTTCCACGTATACCGCATCAATTTCTTACATTACACATGCTTTCATTCACCAAACGACTGAGAGTATAATATACATATAGGTATTCTCACGCCCACACCAGATACGTACGGTGCAAGCAAAAGCTCCAATTTTCTCGCCATATGTCCCATTGGTATTGAGTATAGTATAGGTACATGCAAAAGCAG